GGCCCGCTGGCTCGTTCGATATGGCTGACTTGGTATCCCTATTACTCATCCCTGCTGTCCCCCTCCCCCTCGTCCCCCATGTCATCATCCGGGTAGGGACGTTCTTGTCATCGATTCATCCCTTCTCCATCCATCCTCGTCCTCTCCTCCCTCGCCCTCACCCCGTCTGTCCTCCCCCTATCTAGCCCCAATGGGTTCCGCAACCAGAGAGGTGGGGCTGGTTCGCATTAGGCAGAGGAACCTGCAGCACATCATGGCGGTGGGAACCTGCGGCAACAGGACTTCGGACAGGGGCATATCTTGTCATCGGCCATCCCACCATCACTCCCTCATGCCGTTCCTCCCTGTATTCCTCCTCCTTATCGCATGCCCATATAGCGAATCCCCATCTTTCTATGATTCCCCCTGTTCTCTTCAACTGCATCCCCGTTCCCTCTTCGTCATTGACTGCCTCTCCTTTCCTCATCAACAGGTTCCTCCTCATCAGTTCCCTCCTCCTCACAAGCCTCCTCTTCCTCACTCAGCATAGTTGTCCTCTTCCTCCGTCGTTCCTTCCTCCCCTCCATCTCCTCCTCCCATCTGCATATGCACACATTCATTCCTTTGAGCATCGCACTTCTTTCTCCTCCACATATTCCGCCTCCCCCCTCCATCCTCCTTCATTGTCTCCCTTCTTTCTCGTCGTCCTCCTCCTCCTCCGCCTCCTCGATGAGCACATCCCTTCTTTTCCCGGTCAGTTCTCTACTTGCGCTCCTCATTCGTGTATGATTCGTCCGAAACGTCTCTACCTCTCTTCCCTCCTCCTGCCACGTCTACATACGCATGCTGTCATACTTGTCCTCCTCGTCATCCTCCGTCTCCTGTGCCTGCTTCCTGCCTCCCCCCCATCCCACTTTATATTTCACCATCCCCCTCCTCCTCCTCTTCCTCCTCCTCCTCCTCCTCCTCCTCTTCCCCAACCTTCTCTCCCCCCTCCTGAATTAAGCCTCGCTGGTCGCGATACATGTTGGTGCAAGCCCCTTAAATGTTTCTACGTTTTCTCTCGCCCCCCTCCTCCTGATGCTCGTCTTCCTCCCTGCCGCGCTCCTCATATTGAGCCTCATTCCCCTCTACCTCCTACTCATCCTCCCCGTCCTCCTTCCCTCCTCTCCCCATTCCACTCCTCATGTCCATCCACAGGCCACGGATTCCTTCAGAAGCGAGTTCGCTTGCGATGTACAAGCATTTGTTCGCCTCAGAAGTTAGGCTCCGCTGGCCCAGCTGACACGCCTTCTGGAATCGTGCGTCCCTGCCTTCCCCCCCCCCCAGGAGTATCATGCTCTCGGCGGCGCTCGCCCTCGTCCTCCGCGGGGAGGCCAGGGCCAGTGCGATCCTCGAGCAGGCGAAGGAGGGCGACCCCACGCCCAGGGAGGAGGAGGAGGAGGAGGAGGAGCAGCAGGAGGAGGAGAAGGAGGAGGAGGAGCAGGAACAGGAGCAGGAGCGAGGACGGAAAGAGGAGATAGGGATGAGAGGAGGAGGAGGAAGAGGAGGAGGAGGAGGTGATGATGATGTTGCTGCTGCTGCTGCTGCTGATGATGATGATGATGATGATGATGATGATGATGATGGTGATGATGATGATGATGATGATGGTGATGATGATGATGATGATGATGATGATGATGATGATGATGGTGATGACCAGCCTATCCAGAAACGATGCCCAGGGGAGTTGAGGTGATCAGGGAAGTCGGGGAGCATGCAGAAAAACAAAGGGCGGGGGAAGCTGTCACGTACCCCAAGAGGGGGAGGATGGAGAAGGAATCCTCGTCGGAGGGGGAGGGGGAGGAAGAGGAGGAGGAGGAGGAGGAGGAGGAGGAGGAGGAGGAGGAGGAGGAGAAGGAGGATGTGGAGGAGGGAGAGGACGAGGAGGACGAGAAGGAGGAGACGGAGCAGAGGGAGGAGAAGGAGGAGAAGGAGGAGAAGGAGGAGGAGGAAGAGGTGGATGAGAAATTGAAGAGGACGGCGAACCGAAGAGCCAGAAGCGTCTTAAATGCATTTCGGAGATCTTCTTGAGGCTTCTTGGGGGTCTCTTGGGAGCCTCTTGGAGGCCTCTTGGGCGCCTCTTGGGGCCGTCTGGGCGCCTCTTGGGGCGCTCTTGGGGCGCTCTTGGGGGCTGTAGGGGCGCTCTTGGGGCCATCTTGGAGGAGATCGATCGACGAAGGGGGGTTCCCTAATTAGCCTCCCCCCTCAGGAGCTCCAAACATCGCCTCTTGGGGCGCTCTTGGGGCGCTCTTGGAGCGCTCTTGGGCGCTCTTGGGGCCGTTTTGGGGCTCTCTTGGCCCTCTTGTGGGGCCCTCTTGGGCCATCTTGGAGCCATCTTGAGGCCTTGGATGGCCATCGGAAGCGAAACAGGGAGAAAGCAAAAAACATTGATTTTCCTAAGGTTTTGGGACGATGTTGGCCTCTTCGGGGCCTCATTGGGGAGCTCTTTGGCCACTTGGAGCCGTCTTGGGGCCGTCTCTGGGCCTCTTGGAACCATCTTAGGAGCCATCTCGAGCGATCTTGCGCTATCTTGAGCCATCTTGGAGCTCATCTTGGGCTCTCTGACGCGCTCTTGAAGCCATCTTGGGGCCAAAAGAGCCGTCCGACCGCTCGGGGAACCCTCCGTCCAGGTCCAGGGGAGGGGGTAGGGGGAGGGGTAAACCTCTCCCCAAGGGGGAAGAGGGAGGGGTGGAAGAGGATCTGTTCTAGACCACCTACGCCCAGAGGGCTGGTGGGATTAAGACGCCAGGGGGCCGCGGCGGCCCTCAGAGGGTTACCAGGATTAGTGGAACGAACAATGACATAGACATAAAAAAACTCGGGGGTCCGCGCAGATTTCTCGGCTCGGCGCTGGGGCCCCCTGGCGGCGCCTCCGGCGCCGCCCCTGGCGCGCTCGAGGGGGGTCCAGCGCGGAGCCAAGCAATCCGCGCGAACCTCCGAGTTTCTATGTTTGTGTAAGGTTTCGTTCCCCTACCTCAGAGGGTTTGCCGCCAGGATGGGCTCGACTTCGCAAGCCCGCGATGTCGGCAAGCTGGCAGCCGCAGCCGCCAGCAAGGCCCAGCAGCACACCACCTTCGGCGGGAGCCTGACACGCGACCACCTGCAAGCACGTCGCCATTGAGGCCCCCGCTGGCGCGCCCCAACTGGAGTACCTTTGGGCGCCGGGCGATCCGTTCCCGACTCGGAGCAGAGGCTCTGGAGGGCACAGTGGAACCCCTCGCCAAGAAACACGCTGCATGCCTCCAGGGTGCCCAGGGTTTCTTAGGTTCCGATGGTTTTGCTACGGAGAGTGCGACGTTCCCACGCCAAAAATCCATGGACGTCCTGGAGTCTCAGGGTCGGGTTTCTTGTGGAAGGTTTCTTCTGGTCGAGCTCCCACTGTATTCCGCCATCGCAGCACCTCTTTCAGCTGCCGCCCACCTTTCTCGCCTCCTGGCCGGCCCACTCCAGCCAACAGCACCAGGGGGCAGCGCAGTGCGACCTCTGGAATGCTCCCCTTCCGCCCATACGGTAATTTCGAGTCGTGTTGACCGGCGGCGACTCCGCCAGCGGCGTTCAACGTTGAAACACGCGGGCGACTCAGAATCTGCCCGGACGTGGGTACTCTTGAAGCTTGCACGGGTGAACCGCCAAATCCTCAGAACACGCTTCTCTCAACAGTAGTGATGTGGTGTTTCTTGTGTTTCTGCCCGTGGCCACGACCCCTGAGGCCACCTTGCAAGCGGAGAGGAGAGGGATAGCCTGCTCAAACAATCTTTCCAGCGACGTGGATGCGGCGAGCGGCCGCCAGGGCGAAAGCGTTTTGCCGGGGAGCAGTGCTGGACTGCAGAAACCAGAAGGGGGTATCCTGTACAAAGCGACTGTTTGCATCAAGCATCCCGCTTTCTGGTTTTGGGCGTGCTCGGCGTTCCCGAAACCAGGGGGAACAATTATTTACATTCCGGTTAATGTTGACACGTTGCCTCCACCCCTCTCGGGTTTTGGGTTGCTGTGTGGGCACGTCCTCGCATGGCCTTGTGCATTCAGTTAGCTCCAACAATTGTTTTGCGTCCTCTTTCTCACTGTGGTAGTTTCCTTCTCCTTGCTGGCCCCGCTCGCGCATCGCTGCCCGAAAGGCCGATCGCGCTGCCCATGTTCAGCCAACGCAAGCCTGGGATACCGCTGCCGGCCGCAGCGCGTCCGCATTGCCAGCACTGCCTCGCGCCACGGGACACGGGGCAGCCGCGCGCCCGATACGCCGCGTGCTGACGAGGAGGGTCACCACCTACCAAACCACCCCAACCCAACACGAAGGCCTCAATTTGCCCTCCATTTCCGGGGGGTGGGGGTCGGGGAACATTGAGAAAACACCTATGAAGCCCGCACCCCCCCCAACCCCGAATTCGGGTTTTCGGGTTGGGTTGGGGTGGTCTGGTAGGTAGTCAGAGGGGAGTTGACAGCAAGGCAGGCTAAGATTACGGGAGGGGGATCTGCGCCCCCACCTTCAGCACGTTTTTTGTATGGGAGAATGCCGCGCCACGGACGACCCCTCTTCAACGACGCCTCGCGCAGTTGGAGGGGGCTCATGCGTTTCTTGGCGGTCCCTGTCGTGTCTCTCTTTCCCCTCCCCCACCTCGTGTCTTCGGCCCCCCCCCCTCCGTTGGCGATCTGTTGCCGTCCTCTTCGAAAGTTCGACGCCACAGCGGCCCATTTTCAAGATCAGACCCTCCTTGCCCAACTGCGTACTGAGCCGAGGGCTTCGACCACTCCCAGTGGCACAGTCCGCAAATTGCAGATGATCGCAGGAGGAGGCGGGGGGGAGGTGGAGGAGGAAAGGGGGGGATAATGAGAAGGACGACGGCGACGGCGACGACGACGAAATATCGGAGGTGGAGGAAAAGGTAAGTATTGACACGGTGGACAAGAATGTGGAGATGGAATTGGCTGTGGTGGTGGGGGGGAGGAGGAGAAGGTATTAGAGCAGCCGGAGGTAGAGGAAGAGGTAGAGGAATGCAAGGCGGAGCAGGACGTGTAGGATAGGGTCAAGGTGGAGGGCGTGGAAATGGAGGAGGTGGTGGTGGACGAGGAGGGGATGGAGGGCGAGGAGTGGGCGTTTGCGAAGGAGTGCGACGTCGCACTCGAGAAGGTGCTCGGCAGACTCTTCGGCCGGCTGACCTCGCAGCAGGGCGGCTCGCAGTGGCGGGCAGCCAGAGGGGGCTCCAGGTCCCCCCTCGGTCACTCTCTCTTTCCTTCGCCATCCTCCCCACACGTCTCCTATAGTTCCACCCCCCTATCTCCAAGAGTATGTGCTCAAAGGCATGGGCCATACACAGCTGTGACAAAAGTTTCATCAGTTTGCCATGGCGAAGATACGTAGATCCCATCCCTGTTGAGACTCCTACCATCACATGATGCTGGCATCATTCGGCGTAGTTTCCGATCCGCCTGATGTTTAGAACTCTGTTGACCCAGAACCAGATCGGTAACTACTCCGCGCCACACCCTATGAGGTATCGAGCGGATTGCGCCCGCGCGCGGAGTAGTTGCAGCATTTGTTCTCCGAGTCATCCCGCCCTGATGCGTTGTTAGCGAAGGCAGATTAAAGGACACTCACTTGCGTCACGGTGATGTAACGCGCGCTATGGCACCCTACCCCCCCTCCTCAGGCCCCCCCCCTCCATGTCGGGACGCCCCGCCTCCGCCCTTCAGTGCGCCCCCGGCACTGGTGCAGCGCACGCGGGCCACCGCAGCCTCCTAGCAGAATGTTTGGCGGTCTGAGCGCCCGCGTTGCATATGCGGGTAGCTGTGGTGCTCGCAGGCTCTAGCAATTAGTGTTCGCAAGCTATTGCATTGTTCGCAGGCTGTTGCGGTGCTCGCAGGCTGTCACCGGTTTGCTGCCCCTGCTCGCGGACACGCTGCCAGCGCTCCCAGGCTATTGTGGCACTGGCACTTGCGGGGTCTGGCCTTTTTGCATACACGTGTGGCGCTCACGAAATATCGTTGTACGGCGGGTCTGGCTTCCGTGGCCAACTGGCGGTCGGAAGCACGGCGTGGTGCTCGCAAGCACGCTGTAGTGGTCATAGTCGGGGCTGGACAGAACCCCCACCCTGACACGTCGATTAGTGAATTGTCCGTTTTCGGTTCTCGAGAGGGCGCCGCGGCCGTCATTTTCCAGGCTTACGCCCTCCAGGTTTGGGCCCCAGGTCGTTGTCACTAAACCACGTTTTGCTAAAGGGGGCTCTGTCCATCCCCGGCATAGGCTATTGGCGTGCTCCTCGTCGCCAGAGGCGCTGGCGCCGGCTGCGGCCCCCGACTGAGCCCCCCCACATCAGGCGGGCACCCACGGCACCCCCGACTGCACAAAAAAAAAAATTGCACAAAAAAACACAGGATTGCACAAAAAAACCCACAAAAAAAAAAAAAAACAGGATTGCACAAAAAAACCCAGGATTGCACCAAAAAACCAGGGTTTTTTTGTGCAAACCCAGGGTTTTTTTTGTGAAATCCAGGGTTTTTTTTGGTTTTTTTGGTTTTTTTGTGCGTTCCCCCATATCAGGCGCGGATCCCCGGTTTTCCCCGGCATCCCCCAGACCCTGCCCAGACCCCCCTGGGGAATCAGGATGCTCTCTCTTTTGACCCCACTAGAAACCCATCAGTCGTCGCTGTTCGGTAAAAATGCGAGAGCTGCCCGGATTGAGGGCGGGTCGTTTTCAAAATGTGGTTCTCGCCGTAGCGCCGCGCACATTCGCTTTAAATTGTTGCAAGAGTTTCACAGATTGAGGGCGGATCGTTTTCAAAATGTGGCTCTCGCCTGAGCGCCGCGCATATGGGTTTTAAACATTAATCGTCGATTCCCCAGAAAATATGGGAAAATATGGGAAGTGGGGGAGAAAACAGAAACCCAGAAAATATCAGAAAATATGGGGAATCCTGTTATTTGTGTGTATTTATTTGTGTGTCCCAGGGCCCCTTCAAGTTTCACGGCTTCCCATGATCAACGTACCAGAAATTATGTCTTGGCAGGATTCAGGATTATGCGGGTGCAACAGTTATGTTGATTCGCGGTGGTGAAGTCCCAAAAATTGTGCTCTGGCACGATTCCGGATCGTGCGGACGCAGCAGTCAGGTTGATACGTGGCGTTGAAATCCCGAAAACAATGTTTGGGCCGGCGTCAGGATCTTCAAACGGTTGTCCTCCAACGAGGCAGTTCCCTCAATGGAAATGAACCGATGTAGGGGCGCATGAAGAGAGAGCTTGGAGGGAGGGTTAATTCCAGCATCGTCGATGACTATTAGGTTTACACTGGTCCTCCTCCTCCTCCTCCTCCTCCTCCTCCTCCTCCTCCTCCTCTGCCTCCTCCTCCTCCTCTGCCTCCTCCTCCTCCTCGCCCCTCCCCCCCCCAGGGAGCCCAGCGGCGGCAGGCGACACCACGACGCAGGCGCGCGCGACGGAGGCGCGGCGGCGGCGGCCGCGCGCCGCCGCGCGCCGCGGCCGCGGCCGCCTCCACCGCGCGCCACCGCGTCGCCGCGGCCACCGCCTCCCGCCACGACGACGACGTGCGGCGACGGCGACGATGACGGCGGCGACGACCGCGACGGTGGCGGCGTCGGCGGCGGCGCTCGCGCTTTGTTCGCCGGGAGCTCGGACTCTCTCGATTCTTCTTGGCGCGAGGCCCAGGCCCTCGCAGTGTTTGCATGGCAGGCCCGGGCTCGCGCGGGTTTCTCACAGGAGGCTGGAACTCCTGTGGCTCCTGCTCCGGTCCCGGCCCCAGGCCCGCCGCGGCAGCGATTGGGAACGGGAGGGGGCGAGGAGGAGGGACGCAGGGAGCACGGAGGTCGGGGCACGCAGCGCCACCGATAGCACCGATGGGGGCCGCAGCGCATTCGCATTCCGAAGGGGGGGGAGAAGGCCATTCTTCCTTCATGATGTGGCAGTTTTTACTCGCACTACACGCGGAGGGGGGGGCATTGGCAAATAATTGCGTCGGACAGCGACTTGTGGTCCCAATTGGACGATGGTTATGTGCACCGTACAAGCAGAAACAGGTCTACCCTCGACTGCATGAGCGGCGCCCTGGCGCCCACTCCCAGCCCCGCGCGCGGCCGCCCCCTTTGTCCGCATCCACGCGTTCGCCAGCCACCTTATGGCATCCACTCGCCAGCCCGCCGACGTCGGCACTTGGCTCGTTCCGTTGATTACTCCAGCCCAGTCCCACCTGCCTTGCCCACGCGCATCACATCCCTACCTCCGCGCCCATCCGCATTCCGCTCCTGCCGTTATGATCGTCGTGGGCTCTTACAGAGGGAGGTGCAGAACATTGACCAAACCACATCCCAAACTAGGTTTTGGAATAGGGTTTGAACTACATACCGACCAAGATTGGGAGTCCCAAACTAGGGCCCCAAGTACACGCAAAACTACCTCCGACGTAACATTCCCAACATACATATACACTCTAGCACTACGGTTGATACAATTCCAGCACCGCATATACGCGCCGAAACACAACATCGTAACTACTATCCTCTACTCTTCTTGTCAAACTATTATATCATCTAGTGCCCAGAAGCTTCCATACATAATATTAAATGTTGCATGCCTCGCGTTACCATGGGTCTGCTCTCGAAAATCCCCCGCTCTTCCTCCGACTACTCTGGGCCTCGCCCCCCTGAACACTCATAGAAATTTCGTGGCGTCCCTCTTCTATATACCTATTCCCTCATCATCGCTGCCGTCGCGTAGGAGGTAGGTATCAGGAGGAGGAGGAGGTAGGCAGGAGGAGGTACGCATCAGGATTAGGAGGAGGTAGGTAGGTATCAGGAGGGACGGCAAGGAGTAGATATCAGGAGGTAGGTCGGTATCACGAGAAGGGACAGGGAGTAGGAGGAGGTAGGAGGTAGGAGTAGGAGTAGGTAGCCAGGAGTGGGAGGAGGTAGGTAGGTAGCATCAGGAGGTAGATAGGTCTCACGAGAGGGGACAGGGAGTAGGATGAGGCAGGTATCAGGAGGGGCGGCACAGAGAATGGGGACGACAAAGATGTGAATGAGGAGATAGAAGAGGAAATAACGGGCCCACCCCCTCCTGTTCACATCCCGCGTCCCTGCCCAGGGCAGATAGAGACGACCAAGCAGTATCCTGCACGTATGCTTTACCATGTTCCTCTGTGCCCCCCCCTGTTCCATCCTCCATCATTGTGCTTATACCTCCTCATTGGCCCCTTTCCGTGCTCACTCCCTTCAGTAGTTCCTATCCTTGGCCTTGACCCCTCTCTTCATGATGGTAATCCCCGTCCTCTTCCGCTCCATCGCCCGCTCCACCGCGTCATGGCCAGCCGTGATGGCTCATGGAGGGCCCAGCGCCCCCTGAAGGCCTTTTGGCCGGCCCCGCAGGGGGGCATTTGCCCGACGCAGACGGTTGGGCAGGAGTCGGACCCCCGATCTCAGACGACGAAGACGGTTGGGCAGGAGTCGACGTCCCGATATCAGACGACGACGGTTGGGCAGGAGTCAGCGTCCCGATCTCCGACGACGGTTGGGCCGCCGAAGGCGTCCCGATCTCAGACGGTGGGGGCTCCTGCGCTTTCGAGCGCGTCGATGTGTTCGCCGATGGGTTAGCCGCTCATGCCATCGAGTGCGCCGCGAGCCAGAAGAAACGGAGCTACATATTTCGAGTGTGCATGCCCCTCGCCAAGCGGACGTGCCGAGAATTCAGACGAGCACGCTCCGAAGCACGACGGCCAGCAGCAGTGGCACCAGCATTGGCCTTGGAAGATTACGGTGACTCAGAACAGCCTGGTCCACCAGCATTGGCCTTGGAAGATTACGATGATGACGTAAACCAGCACGGTCCAGCAGAGCATGACGACGCACCACAGCACGATCGAGACATTCAACTTGTGCCCCGTGAATACGAATCACCATTATCGAATGACCAGTTCAACATTGCACAGTGCGTGGAGCAGATCAACGCGATTGCGTCATGTAGGCCAGATTTGAAGCATATCACTAGCACAAAAGATTTCACGGCATGTCAATACTGGACTAAAGATAATACGAAGGTGCTCCCTTGGACTGATGAGTGCGATCGGCTCGGGATGTCCAGAGTTCAAGCAGAAAAGTTGCCCATGGCGACAGCATGTGCTTCGACTCTTTTACACTGGAGGGATGCAAATGTCATGTGCGGGCGATTGGTCGAGGAAGCTAAACACCAAGGTTGTGAACCAGTTCTTTGGACAGCGATGGTTCGATACGATGAAACGCCGATGGAGATGCGCTTGACAGACTCGGAGAAGCTGAAGAGATCTGGTGGTGATGGTTCGGCAATCGTCCAGATGGAGCACAATCGAAATGAACTTGCAGTTATCAGTTGTACGTGCAAATCAACGTATGTTGCGAAGATCTTGAATACGGAGAGGTGTTATTCTATGTTGTTCCGATCCCCATCGGGGTCACATTTCGCAATACATATTCCATTCGAAACACCAGTGCAATCTTTGAGCAGGACAACGGGCGAGGTGATGTACGACGCAGTCTGTCAAAGCAAACCAAGCATGGGTGACATACCGCATCAGTTCTCTAGGAGGCAGCGTGTCGTTACAACAGATGGTGTTGGAGAGATCCGCCGATCAGAAAGAAACTTGGACAGAATACTTGGTGACTCCAGCAGCATTTTAAAGATTCTGTGCGAAGTACACATCATATATGGGTGGTATTCAAAGATCTTCACGCCTATCAAGAGTCACACGGACAGTATGGTGCACGCGGCCAGGGCCCTCTTCGGCGGGGATGGCATGAGATCGTTCCGAGCGCATTTGAGAAATATTATCTCGCATAGTTTGGTATATCGTGCAGACGCTAAGCCTTCCTACGTCGACCTTCGGATGAATAAGCAACTCTTGGATGCATGCTTGGAACCACGTTCGGGGCACAATAAGTTGAGGCGCACCGTGATCATATCTTTGGCCAGCGGTTGCTGGGCAAACAGGTGCTCGCAGTGTAATTAAGATTGTGTGCCACTTCGTCCTGCAGCCTCCTCTGCGCATGCTCCTGCGGGGGCTGGGGCGCGCCGCCCCATTCGTCGCCGTTTTGGTTGGCCCTTAGCCCGGGGTCCCCGAGTTCCCGAAACCTTCGGTTCAACAGGAGAGTTTGTGTATTTGTGGCCGGAGAGAAGGCTGCAGCGTTGGCGTGGCGCATCGGCTTACAGTGCGACACAGGCGCGTGGTGGAGCATTGCTGTGATGGGTGTTGCGGCTCTCGAGAAGAGTGCGTCACCAAGTTTGTCACGATGTTTGTCGCATGTACCTCCGCGACAGACCCGAAAGCGCGGCCGTCATCGAGGTGGACTGGGTTCGAGGACGCGGTTGACTGGACGGGGCTGCTGGGCTGCATCCACGGGCTCCTGACGAGGACGTTCGCGGCGTGGTCGGGCTCCAAGGGCCACGAAGTGCCCGACCACATCGGTGACGTCAAGGTGCCTCAGTTCGACGGCGACGCCGACGGCGTGCAGGCCATGGGCGGCCACGGCGACCTCCCAGACCCAGAAGCAGCTCAGGAACAACATGGAGGTGGAGGTGGAGGGCCTGCTGACCCAGCTGATCCTGCGAAGGCCGACGACAAGCGCACGGCTGAGGCAAAGCATGTTTCCGAGGGGCGGAAGTGGTTATTGGAAGATAGCCCTCTCGGTATGCTTGTGACGATACGGAGGCTGTTGCTACCGATGCTTGGGATAATGGGGCGATACCTGGACCGAGCTGGGGAGAAGCAGCAGAAACGCGTCGAGACTCAGAAGCTCTATCGTATGAATACTGGTGTTGGCCGCGATGGGTCATTGGACGAATGTCCTCTCATCGTAGCTTGTTCGCTTGTATTCGAGGATGAGGTTTTCGACCAGCTTGAGAAGTTGGCACATCATGAAGACCTTTGGGAAGCAATGCCTCGAGTATGCTGGACGTCTGCCATGTCTTCACGCATCTTTTGCATGTTGAGCCAGGTCGGCTGCTTGTGCAATGAGTTGCGCACCCTTCACGCTGGATATCCTTTCAAAGTATTCCGTCTGCTATTGGAGCCTGAGGTAGCCGAGGAGATCGAGGATGATTGCGCAGATCTTAAAGATAAGTGGAGCCAAGCGCTCATTGACAAGTATCTCCCATCGCCTCAAGGATTGCTGAGCCCCGATTGCCTTGTTGAGCTTCGACACACTGCTGCGATTACCAAGGTGGAGACGTGCAGCATAGAGGCGAGCGACGCCGCCATACGTAGGAGCTTGGTTGCACTCGGAGTGCAAACCCATCGCATGCACATCCGCAGGCTGTCCGCCCAGCGGACGTGTCAGAGTCATCGCAGGCACCAGCGTGAACTTCGGGCTGGCTGGATTCGGAACGTTCGGAAACACCAAACCAAGGATGGCGATGCCAAGAACAGCACCAGCAAGTCTGAGACTGGGGCTGAGAAGACTT